GAAGAAGAAGAAGTGAAGTGCATAGTCAAAAACACCACCATCAGCTCAGAACGAATTTTTGAAACGCGTAAAATTTGCCGATTTTTGCAGTTTACCGGGATTCCCTTAGGCATTTACCCCCTTTAACGCGTTAAGTCGCGTTAATTCGGTCGTTATGGCGCCTAAGTGGCCACAGGTAAACAATGGCCCTGAACACATCAACGAGCACGCCACGTACCTCAGAGAAGCATGTAACCAGTTGCAGGCGGTAGACAGGGGTCGTCATAACCAGGTGCCATGGAATATAGTGCAGCCATACCTAGAATCAACCATCTTGCTCATCGGAAAGGTTCTGCGACAGCCTGCTCTGCGCGAGATCCTTCAGCAGGTCAAAGACGCGGCCAAATGCACACAGAACATCCAAAACGACGTCACCATCATCAAGAACTCCGTTGGACTTAGCGCTGCCCCACTCAATGCATCAAACTTTAGCGGAGCAAGACAACGAAGCGCCGTGACCTGGGCACAGGTTGCCGCGCATGCAAAGGGCTCGCCACCACTCCCTCTGCCCGCATCTCACAACGCAACCAGCAACAAGAACCAGACCACTGTCACGGCATACAAGGATCGAACACTTACCGTTAAACTAAAGAACAATGGAATTGTCCAGCGTTACCGGACGCGCCCAGCGTCGTGGACCAAACAACAGGTCGAAACGGCAGTCCGCACCAACTCGGCCACTACATCAATCAAGGTCGTCGCAGCACACCAACTCAAAAGCGGTGACATTCAGATTATCGCAAACACGACAGAGGAGGCCAAAAACCTCAAGGAAAACCAAGGGTGGATAAGAAGCCTGGGCGAAAATGCAGAACTCATTGTGCCAACCTACGGAGTAATAGTCCATGGCATCCCAACCAACTCTCTCAACATCAAGGACCAGGAAACCGCTATCCAACAGATGCTAGCAGACAACTACACAGTCATCCCCAATGCCAAGATCTCCTTCGTCGGATGGCTCACAAAAGAGGCCCCTCTCAAGCGCGCATCGTCGATTGTGGTGGAATTTATAGAACCAGAGATGGCGAATGCCATCATCTACGCCGGGATGGTATGGGATGGCCAAATTCATCAATGCCAACTTTATGACCGCGCCTGCCGAGTGAAACAATGCTTTCGATGCTACAACTACGGCCACATTGGCACTCAATGCAACGCATCCCAAATTTGTGGCTATTGTGCCGAGCAACATGAGTCAAAACACTGCCGGCGGAAGGGTGCGGAGGGATTCGCACCACAATGCGCAGTTTGCAAAGACGCTCACACTGCATGGAGCAATGCCTGCCCAGCAAGAAAGAAAGAACTACAGAGAGTGGAACAAGCCAAGGAATCCCGCGACATCTACTGGCACGTGCCACCGAAGGAGACCTCGACGCATCCCGGAATCACCAACACAAATGACACTCCCGCCAACGACACAAACGGTACTGACAACACCAGAGGCACCGGCAGCAACAAGCGTCGTGCCCCAGCCCCGGCCTCGGCCCCGGATTCTCCCCGTCTCATCACCCGGCGGTCGGCAAACGCCTCGATGCCGATAGTAGTGGAAGCGAACTCACCACCGGAAGTGCATTCCCAGCAAGCACAAACGGCCACTGCAACCCAAGCAGCACCAGTAACAATCACGTCACCAACACCACCGAACCCTACCGTGGAAGAGAGTTGGGCAACGCCAGAGCCCCTGCTCGAATCCGCTGAGCAACCCACGATCGATCCACAACTCACAACCACCGAAGAGCCTGCCGCAACCACACCCACGGCGTTCTCAGAAGAAGGAATTCTCGGTTTCTCTACAAGGGAAGCAGACGACTGGCTGCAACGAATTGGTTTAGACAACGACTGGTTGGACGAGGCTGAGGATGATTCCTCCCCACTCACATCCGTGGTGACAGACACTCGCACGGCTCAGGGCCAAATTTATAAAGGGTGCACCTGCGCTGAGCATCAAGAGATTTATAGCAGCTGGCCTACGCACAGCGCTGAACTGACGATCGCCCGCTGCATGAAAACATGCACGTACTGCGGGAAGGATTTTGAAGCGACAGCTGAGCTGCGAAAGCACATGAGAAAGAAATACGAGCGTAAGGGCATCTCCATCGTGGTGGAGAAGCGGAATCGTTGGGGGGCCACGACACCGGCCTGGACACGCAGACGCCACACGGAGTCGCCCCCACGCCAGCCAGCAACTCGAATCACCAGAAGCCAGTCCGTCACAGGTAGTACCAGCGAAAGACGACTTGCATGGTAGAACATCGCACGCTACGCATCTTACAGTACAACGTCAGGAAATCCAGGGACGTCGTTCTCGCAAGCCTCTTCCAGAACAGGAGGATCGCAGAGTACGACATTATCGCGATCCAAGAACCCTGGCGCAACCATTTTATCAACACATCATACCACCCGCTGAAGACGCACTTTCAGCTCATGTACCTCGACAACCCGGCGACGAGAGTGTGCCTCTACATGAATAAACGCATCAGCCCCAGCACGTGGCAGGTGTCCTATATTTCAGCAGACATCATATCTCTCACCATCCGCAGTCCCAACGATGACAAACCAATTCACATATGGAATGTGTACAACGAGGTGGGAACAGCCACGCTGTCAATCTTGGCAAATGCCCTTGGCGGACTGGATCAGGATCACGAGTCTATTGTTCTTGGTGACTTTAACTTGCATCACCCGCTGTGGTCAGCGCGACACCGGCGAGGTGCGGCAAGATCCAGAGCAGAAGAGCTTTTAACAATCGTGGAAACCTTCCAGCTTCAGCTCCTCACAGTGCCAGGCACCGTCACCCATCGATGGAAAGATGGAGACTCGACAATTGATCTGACGTTTGCGACGGAGGATTTGGCGTCGCGCACAATTCACTGTAAGATTGCCAAACAACTGGACTGTGACTCAGATCACCTTCCGGTGGATGTGGCCATCGACTGGGACTTTCAGCAAGCGACACCGATAAAGAAACGCCTTTGGACGAAAATGAACGTGCGGTTACTTCGGGGGAAAGTGAAAGAGCGCCTGCCAGACGAGCGCGAGGTGGGGCCATTGAACAACCACACCGAGATCAATGCCTACGTTGATACCATTGTCAAAGCACTTGGGGATGGCATCGATGCATCAACACCGTGGTCCAATCCATCGCCACACTCCATCCCAGGTTTCGATGAAGAATGCAAGGACATTTGCAAAGAAGTTCAGAGACTTCGTCGGACATGGCAACGCACAAGACAAGACGACGACTACGAAGCCTACCGACAGGCGCGTAATCGGAAAGGCCGCCATATTCAAAAGACGCTCCGAAACGCGCATCGTCAGAGAGTGGAAGAGGCGTCAGCCAACCAATCCGGCCTGTGGAAGCTCGTCAAGTGGGCCAAGAATCGACACGCTCCCTCATCAGCCTGCACACCGTCTCTAGTTACTCCAGATGGTGGGCTGGCCGAGGGGCCAGAAGAAAAGGCAGAGGTGCTCCGCCAGTCATTCTTCCCACCTCCCTCACAGGCCGACTTGAGCGACATCCAAGGGTACCAGTACCCTGCACCAATCGAATGCCCTGCCATCACCATATCGGAAATCGAGAAAGCAGTCAAGTCCGCAGCTCCGAACAAGGCCCCAGGCGTCGATGGGATCACCAACTGTGTCCTACAGGGAACACTCGACATTCTCATGCCTTGCCTTCACAAACTTTTTAATGCTTGTTTGGAACAGGGCTACTGCCCTGCTCACTTCAAGGAAACAGTCACAGTGGTCCTGCGGAAACCCGGCAAAGAGGACTACTCGCAGCCAAAGTCATACCGTCCAATTGCACTTCTCAACACGTTGGGAAAAATGCTGGACGGTGTGATCGCAAGCCGACTGGCGTATTTAGCTGATACCTTCCAACTACTGCCTCGTCGGCACACTGGAGGAAGAAAGCTTACCTCAACAGAGCACGCAATGCACATGCTTCTTCAACGCATACATCAGGCCTGGGCTGAAGGCAAAGTCGCCACACTACTGCTGCTGGATGTGTCGGGCGCCTACGATAATGTTTCTCACGAGAGACTCCTGCACAACCTTCGAAAACGCCGGATTGACCCAAAAATCATTCGATGGGTAGCTTCGTTTCTCAGTGATCGGTCGACAACACTCAAACTACAGGAGTACACAGCGCCGTCGGTACCAATTAAGACGGGTATTCCACAAGGATCCCGCATGTCACCATATCTCTACTTGTTTTACAATGCAGATTTGGTAGAAGATTGTAAAAACGAAAATACGGAAGCGGTAGGATATATCGATGATGTGTCTATTCTGGCAGTCGGGCCTTCTTCAGCCCACAACTGCAAGACCCTCAAGGCTATCCACCACAAAGCCGAAGAATGGGCTGCAAAGCATGGCTCGAAATTTGCACCCGCCAAGTACGAACTGGTGCACTTCACCAGAGATCCGACAGCC